TTGTCATGTACAAAGCTAATAAACTTATACTGATGGGTCAACAGCCAAACAAAAAAAAACTAGAACTGTCCAAAAGGGACAAATACCCCCCGCTGGGTTTTTCAGAGAAGGTATCAAATCACTAATGTTTTCTAGATGTGAGAGGTGTTCACAATTTGCTTAAACATTCAGAGTGAAAATTTAATTACTCATTATACATGTATTTTTTTTTAATGAATGACACTAAGGTGCAGCTTAATAAAACATCAATACTAGTAATTACAGTGTTTTTTATTACATTGAAAAAATAGTTTGCAACTATCTTTCATCTTTGTGAGACATGACACTCTGCAAACTGATTGTTGAAAAAAAAAAATCATAATTAATTATACAAAATCAAATTGATCTTAATACCTTTATATCAAACTCATTTTAAAAATAAAAGGCTGGTTCCGGTAACTACGTATTTTGACAGACATAAATTACAATTAAGAGACTTAGACAACAGAGATTTTTATTTCTTTCTGCCCAGTTCCCAGGAGATATAGATAAGACCTGCTTAATCAGAGATGCCCTAACAGCTTCCCACACTGAACTCATTAATTAATCTTTAACTGGATGCATGTCCACTCATTACTCCCAAGGGACAAATGCATTTACACTATCTGCTGTGTAATGTAAAAACTGTTTTAATACTTTGTGATTTTATTTTTAGTTCTAATGAGTAGTTTTAAGCTGTAGTTCACATTTTTGTACAGATCTGTTCTAGCTAGATTCTATGTCTCAAACCTTAGACATGAACCCGAAATGACTAAGTAAATAAAAATGAAAAAAAAAGCACCTGTAAAATGCAGAAAAATTATCAAATAATGTTGAAAATACCAGGTGCACATCTTCATATGGTAAAAAATAAGTGTACAAATTTTCATACAAATCTATGCAATAGTCTCTGGGAACAGATCAAGACAAAACCACATAATAAAAATGAAAAAAACACCTGTAAAATGCGAAAAAATTATCCAATCATGATGAAAATACCAGGTGCATACCTTCATATAGCAAAGAATAAGTGTACAAATTTTCCGACAAATCCTTGCAACAGTTTCCAAGAAATGGTCCGGACAAAATCTCGTCTACAGACAGACGGACAGACAGACAGACGGACAGACAGATGGACAAGCTGATTCCAATATACCCCCCCTAAACTTCATTTGCGGGGGGTATAAAAATTAAATATTAAAGTAAAGAGTCAAGGTTCGGAAAAATTGTAGTTGTTATTTCTTAGAATCCTTTCACTTACACAAAAAAGTAATTTTTTCACACTTGGGGGTAGCATCCCTTACCTGCAACTCCTCTTGCATCACTGAATACATTTTAATGAAAATTTCACCCAAATTTTTATTACATAGTGGCATTGAACATCTATTTTATGTTTTGATTGGACATATATTTGGGGTTTCCCATAGGAACACATGAACACAGCCATTCTTTTTATAATATTGGGGGTAATCCATCTCTTATCCATAACTTCTCCTAAACCACTGTTTAAAATTTGAGACTTTCACAGAATCTTTATTACATAGTGCCTGGATTGTGCACTTCCTTTTTTTCATTTTTGATTGGACAGTTATTTGCTTTTACACTCATATGGGAGCGAAGGGTATCACTTTGTTGGAGGGGGGTAATTCATTTTGTGAGCTCAGTGCTCAGAGTACCTCTAGTTAATCATGAAATTTTTATTATTTCAAATTCTTTGCCAAAATTAGTATGGTTATGCACATGATTGAAATGAACTTCCAGGTAAATATTCATAAAAGTCTGAGCGTCATTCAAGTATAATACTTCAAATAATGTCACCTTACAGTCTTGGGAATCTACACCTTTCCCTGGATATCTTTAAGTGGGGTCAGTGTGGTATCAGCCCCTCTCCAGTACAAAGTCAACCATAAGAATCACTAGTACTAATGTTAGAAATAATGTTACTGGGTAGTTCTGTTTAGAATCTTGGGGTTTGCCAGAGTTACCTCTCTTAGATGCTATCACATATTTAGTCATGGTTATCAATACTAATCCATTTAAATTTGGGAAAAAAATATTTTCACCTTGATATAAGTATACTCACCATGATTTATTTATCTCCCATTGAACATTTAAACTATGTCCATTATTGCTAAAAAATGAGAATGGGTTGCTTTCACCACCTGTTAATTCTCAATTCATACCAAGAAAAATAGCATCATTCCAGAAAATTCACCTCAGTATCAAAATAATTCCTAAAAAGCAAACACATGCATTTATCATGGTCACACATGCCATCAAATTAATTTAGCATGTTTTACCAAGTACAAACACAACCAATATATTAAGTTACATCATCTGCAATATAGAAGAAAACGTGAGACTTGCCTCGTTCAATGGGTGTGATTACAAGATCAACAGGAATGTAGTCCCTCCACCTTACAGTCTTGGGAAATCCACACCTTCTATCCCTGGACATCTCTAAGTGGGGTAACGGTCCATCTCCAGTACAGATTCAACCATACAAATCACTAGTACTTGTCATATCGCACAAAATCTCTACTTTGATGGGATAATTTATAGATCCCATGTCCTTGCATATTTCCTTTTAATGTCTCCAAGGTTAGTTGACTGTAGATACAAAAATAATTATAGCATTTTATCTGCATACATTAATTATAAAATTCTCTTGCAGCAGAGTTTATCTGAGTGTATGGAGACTTCCAGACTAATTGTGTGTGGTGGTTGATGGGATGTGTGCCAGATTTGTCCCCAATACTAATTGGATGCTGTTAGGCTGGGAGTCTGTTATCATCAAGAAATCCAAATGCATAAATACATGGGTATTACATGTATCTAGTACTTAACAATACTGATAACCTTTCTTTTGAGTGCATTTTGCTTTGTAAATTAATGTTATAACAGTAAAAGCATAAAAACAATCATATGCTTGCAGGTATAGTACTTAGTAAATGGTTAAAATGTTTGAAAACTAATTATAAAGTATTGAAATTACATTTTCTCTGTACAAATCTTCTGAACAGTCATAATGATTACCACCCCTCACTTCAGCAATGTTTCATGAGCCTAAAAATAATGATATTTAAGGTAATAAACAATCTAATTAGATCTTTGATGCTCCCCTAGTTAGTCATGTTACTGTACAGTGACATACCGGTATATTTAAGGAATAACTGTCTAATTTTTTGGTTTCATGACGTGATCAATCGATTGGCTTGCGTGATAATTTGCATAAACGCCGAAGGCATTTATGCATAAAATTATCACGCAAGCCAATCGATTGATCATCTCCATGAAACCAAAAAATTAGACAGTTATTCCTTATACATGTATTTACATGCTCTTGATTCTGCAAATTCACGTGCTACAGGCCCCGCTTCTGTCTCTATTTGTCCCGCCCCGCACATGATCTTTTTTCACCACACCTATCGATGAACCAGTAGATTTATGTAGAAATAAAGTATTTTTACTATTTGAAATTTTATCTCGGACAAAGACATTGGAAATGCAAATATAACAAAATACAAAAGCTGTAAAGGATCTAATTTTGGCAATCAATATTTACCTCTGGAGCCATTTGCCTTGACTTCACCCCAGGATCATAAAAAGAACTGGACATATAATTAAAGTTAAAGTTTAAATAATGTGTAATTAATGAAACTGAAATTCAAATTTGTTTACCCTTGAAAGCTTGAAAAAATCGGTAACATTCAATTCTATTGCTCCAACAATCATTTGCAATTGCACATAATATGCATCTATACCATAAAAATGGTACTCCAGTGGTAAGTGAAGGGGGGGGGGGGGGGGGGGGGGCAACCACCATCTAAAGGAAAATTTACTAAAGCAAAATACTATACTCATGCAGAAAAAAAGTCCCCCCCCTCCCCCCACCTAGTTGCAGATCTGTAGCTCACAGGTCGGAAAAAGTGCACTGCTTCTCAATTTTTTTCACTCTATACATTTCAAAATATTACTAATCAAGTGTTTCTAACATATTCTTTAACTACTTCTACAACAAAACTGCATGTACAGTACAAGTCATGTACGAAGTGCATTGGACCGAATTATCTAGCCAACTAATATGGCAGTATAAATGGGTGAAATTTTCGATGGTCTCAATTTCTTGCCCAGGATGGCTATAAACCATGGTTTTGGGAAACGTTTCGCTGTGGAAGTAGTAAAAGAATATGCTAGGGACACACGGTTTAATAGTAAAATTTTGAGATAGCAGCATAGAGAAATAAATCAGGAAAACAATACACTTTTTCGTGCGCAATAAATATACACTTTTTTCAGTGGGTGGCACTGGTCGTCCATACCAATTTTTTTTTTCAGACCAGCGAACTACAGATCAGCAGCTGCAGCTACCCCTAGCTCCCCCCCCCCCCCCCCCCCGCATTCCACGGGCCTGAGTGATTAACCCTTTGGTGCAAACATCGAGGCAGGGGTTTAGCTCGTCAAAATACGGTACTGAAGACATAATACCTCATGTTCTCTTATAAAGTAGAACTTGTTTGACTTGTTTATCAAATATGCTGACCGACGTCTTATCCAGCTACTCGTTATCAGTGTAACCTTATTCTTTGCATATAACTGATATTTTTATGTCTGGAGAAATACAGGTTTCATAACAATATCAATAGTACTGTAATATGTAGCTGAAATATTCACATACATCTAGCAACATACTTGGCATGTATGCAGCTCCCGTTTATTTTTTTTTCCCGCGCAATGTCTCTGTAAAGTTAACTCGTACAAAGAATACATTGTATAGTAATGTATTTGATTTGTACCTATATTTTTATTGCAAAACTACATCATTTTGCTTTGTAGATTGATAACCCTAAAAAACGTTTATCCCTGTTATCATATTCGATGTGGGGGAAAAAAATCAGACATATATTTTTTTTTTCCAAATAAACATCGGGGTCGGGATTTTATTGCAACAAGACAAAGATGGCGGCGTCTTGAGAAAAAAAAATATTGAAACAACTAGAACTACCCTTCTACAATGTCTTTGGAGTCTGATGCACGAGCAGAATCATGTAGAAAGGCCTTAAAGGTGGCAGTCAGTGCCTTAGCATCTGAGGTGGGGTTTCGAGAGAGCTGAAGAAGCTGCCGTTGAGACGCTGACAGAAATGCTGCAAAGTTGTAAGTTTATGTAAGCTTAAGTTTTCTCTTTTCATATAGTACTTTCATGTATTATTCGGGGACACTAGGCCTATTAGAAAATTCCTTTTTTATCAATGTGTGATTTTAATCAAAAGAATGTTTCTTCTGTGTCCGGTCCAGCACAATCTCTTGATTTAGCTATGCAGCTTGAATCAGCTGTACAGGTTTATCAAGGTATTCAGAATAGCTTAATTGAGGTATTTTATCACATATTTTTCTTAAATATGTTATTTTTTCAGTGATAGTATTCAACCTTGAGCCTTTCTGAAAACAAAGCATGTAAAAATCGCTCATCAAGCTATGTCTCCTTGAGAGATTTGTACTCAAAGTTCTAAACGTTTTGGGGCTATCTAAAGCAATTGATTGGTGACCACACAGTTACTTCTTGAATGAAATTAAAATGGAGGTCAATTATGGTCAACAAGAAAATTGATTGGTACTAATTCAGCACAATGTGAAGCAGTCATACTTATCCACACCTCAATGCACACATGGCCGTAGGAATCGGAAACGGGGGGGGGGGGGGGGGTAATCTGCTGATATATAGAATACTGTAGAAAACATAGCTACTATATACTTGTGATACTTGTGCCCCCTCAATAATAACTTTTGATGACCTTTTTTTTTTTTTTTGGTAGTTGATAGTGCCCCCCCCCCCCCCAACTGAAAATCTGAAAATGTATGGTTGTGCCTCCCCCAAACTGAAATTGCTTCCTACGGGCCTGGCACACATGGTGGTGTACAGTTATCAAAACAATGGAAGTACATCTTCTGCTTATAAGTATTCAAATCTGTCATGTTACAACTATCTTTGATGTGGGTTGCTTTTTTGATAGCCCATAGTATATATATGAATAGTCAAATGCTTGCGACTTTTTGGCTATTTCTTACAAAAAACTTTTATGTGATAAACTGCATATAAATAGCTCTATCAATCTATTTTGAATAGCTTAATTAAGATAAATAGCTATTTCAAGCTATATAGCTAAATCAAGAGACTGTGCTCCCAGGGTCTATAGAAATATATACTATCAAAAAAATCATATATAAACTACTAAAGCTACACTTGGGAGGATGCCTTCTTGGACTCTTTCCTCACTTCAACCTCTGTTTTCAATTTATTTTATAGTATTCTACTGACTCACCACCTTGGATCTTTTAAGTAATGATTCTCCTAATTAAGACATGATGCTTGAATTATCCCCTTGGAACCTTTACAATACACATTTCAGACAAAAAATAATCAAAATGTGATGTTTGCATTGGGGTTGATCGACATCAAAATCTAAAACATTAAAACTTGATATTTAGTTATAACTGAACTTGGGCGGAGTTCACAGGCCTATGCAGAGTTGGCAGGCAGAACAGAAGGAATGATGACGGATGTGGTTATGGCTCTGATGGAAATGGGTGAGTGACCAGTGACAACATTGTTAAAATCTAAATTTTCTATCTGTATGCAATACAATGCTTTTTTCTGCAAGAGTGAATTACTGAACATTGAAATGATGCATTTTTTATTTCATTCAGGTCAAAATCTCAGTAGCTTACCAGCACATGCTAAAAGAGCCAATAAATCCGTTTTCCTACCTCGTAAGTAAAAACAAATATTTTATGGTAAGATTATGTACAAAGGTTTCCGTATGTAAAACTGTCTTGAATTTGGGGTGTAAAATACACATATGATTTCTATTTTGTGTAATTTAGATTAATGCATCAATTAATGTGCTTCAGTGTTTTAAAAGCACTGCTGTGAATGTATAAATGTACTCTGAATTTTTTATTTTTTTATAAATTATTCTTTTTTTATCACCAGCTGCCCACAGCACTCCTACCCCCAACCCTAGAACTCTTCAGGCTGGGGACAAGATGCCACATCCCTCCCACATCCCAGAGCACATGCCTGCCTTTCCTGACCCTCATACCTACATCAGAACTCTGGTAAATTAAAGGACCTTTTATCAAAAAATAAAAGTTGTTATTTTTGACACGAATCCATTCCTTTTGATGAGATTTAATAGGAAATACTTTGAAAATGATAAATAAGTGGCAATTTAGTGCACTTTTTAAGGTCTGAAATTTAAATCTCACAATATGTATATTTCAAGAGAGAAATCAAAGGCAATAGTCTGTGACATCATATGGGTGTCTTCTTCAAAAGAGTAGCAAGACAACTGTGGAATTTGGAGGGTTATTTTTATTTTTGTTTTATTTTTGCCCATTTTGCCCTCATTGTAGGTGGATGAATTTAAAAGGGGGAGAAATGAAAGAAAACAGAATTATCTTTTGAACACAACTGTGTCTGGGTGAATTTCAAACAGGGCTAAATTGTTGCAATCGTGAAAGGGTAAAAATATCACGGAATGATATATAAAGTTATATAGTTATATAGCTGTATAAAATTAACATCAATACACATCATAAATGAAATAAAGTACTTCATAAATAATCTTTTTATGTATTTAGTAGTCTTAGTCTTAATATTTTCTGCATGAATTTCAGACACAAAAGCCCCCAGTGAATGAATATCAGATAATTAGAGAGAAAGCAGCTTCACAGAAACGGGACGTAGAACGAGCATTGACACGCTTCATCGCCAAAACCGGGGAGACGCAGTCACTCATTAGGGATGATGCCAATCTATTCCCATGTAAGAAATTGCAAATCATTGATTTTTATACCCCCCCCCCCCCCCCCCCCCGCAAACGAAGTTCAGGGGGGGTATATTGGAATCACCATGTCCGTCTGTCTGTCCGTCTGTCTGTCTGTCCGTCTGTCTGTAGACATGATTTTGTCCTGAGCGTTTCTCGGATACTATTGCATAGATTTGTCTGAAAATTTGTACACTTATTATTCACCGTATGAAGGTGTGCACCTGATATTTTCATCATGATTGAATAATCTTTCTGCATTTTACAGGTGTTTTTTTTTTTTCATTTTTATTATGTGGTTTTGTCCTGACCTTTACTCAAAGACTATTTCATAGAATTGTATGAAAATTTGTACACTCATTATTTACTATATGAAGATGTGCACCTGGTATTTTCAACATTATTTGATAATTTTTCTGCATTTTACAGTTGTTTTTTTTTTCATATTTTATTGACTTAGTCATTTTGGGTTTATTTCTAAGATTTGAGACACAGAATCTAGAACATCTGTACAAAAATGTGAACTACAGCTTAAAACTATTCATTAAAACAAAAAAACAAAAATCACCAAGTATTAAAAACAATTTTTACATTACACAGCAGATAGTGTAAATCCCTTTGTCCCTTGGGACTAATGAGTGGACATCATCCAGTTAGAGATAAATTAATGAGTTCAGTGTGGGAAGTTGTTAGGGCATCTTGTGGGAAGTTGTTAGGGCATCTCTGATCAAGCATGTGTTATCTATATCTCCTGGGAATTTAAAGATCTCTGTTCTTTAATTCTCTTAATTGTAATTTATTGTCTGTCATAGTACATAGTTACTGGATGACCAGCCTTTCATTTTTAAAATGAATTTGATATAAAGTTATCAAGATTAATTTGATTTTGTAATTAATTGATTTTTTTTTTCAACAATCAATGCAGAATGTCATGTCTCAAAAAGATGACAGATAGTTTCAATTTATTTTTTCAATGTATTAAAAAACAATGTAATTACAATGTATTGGTATTGATGTTTTATAGGTTGTTCCTTGGTTTCATTCATTAAAAAAAAATATAATGAGCAATTATTTTTTCACTCTAAATGTTAATAAGAAAACACTCTTAGATCCATAAAATATTAGTGATTTGGCACCTCTGAAAAACCCAGCGGGGGGTATTTGTCCGTTTTGGACAGTTCTAGTTTTTACTGTAGAGAACATATGAATTGAACTGTTTCAAAATTGATTTTTTGTTATGGAATTCTTCAAAATTTTCTCATTTTTCTTTCTTAAACAGTAATAGCCATCAAACCTCACCCTTTACCCTATCTCAATGCTCTCCTCCCCAAAGACCAAGACCTTCTGGCTCAGGAAGAGGACACTCCAGCCACCAAAGAGAATTCCTCATCAAAATCCTCACAGGGAGGGACCAAAGAGGGGGAAACAACTGAGCAGGAGGGGGATACCCCTGACCCAGAGGCTATAGACAATCCGTACCTTCGTCCTGTCAAAATGGCAAAGTACCGAAAAAAGACAGGTGTAGGAATGGGATGATGTGTGAAATCAAGAGACGTGTGTCAAAGGTGTAGAGTGAGAGGAGGCAGTGCATGTGCACTCTGGACCATTAAACACTGAAGAGTAAACTAAAAGAACTGAAAATCAAGAGAAAGGAGTTTAATGTATCAGTTTGTTGTTGACATGACCTCCTTTTCAGTGGCTTAAGACATCATCTATCAGTTACTGATTTTTTAGCTACTGTTTCTGAACAATAACAAACTGAAATTGTGCTGTATTGTTTTAGTCAGTGGAGCAGTTTTTGGAATGATTTACAACTTTCAGTACACAAATAAATAATTTATGAATCTTCATTTAAAAAAAAATATCATTTCTCTGAAAGGAAGCTCTATATATATACTAATGAAAATTGTGTTTTGGACTTGAGAAAATTATATCATAAAAAGGTGTACACATTTAAACAATAAAATGCTTTCTTTGGTTGTTAGTACAGGAATTAATGTTGCAGCTGTTACAGAAAAAATACATAACCTGCGTAAGGTTATGTAATTTTTTTCTGCAATAGCTGCGACGTTAATTCCCATACTAAAAAAGAAAGACATTTTATTGTTTATATTTATATCTGTTTCAAAGAACATTCAAAGTAAAATTAAATATGGTAAATATTGTATTATAGTTGTGTATGTCATTGTTTGCATAATTGATGGAACAGCCATTGTTCAAGAAATCTATGCAGGTGGCTTCCGTTGCTTAGTGTCGTTTACCGACTGATAAACGGCAATGGTTTTCATAAGAAATAAAGGAAATAATATTCAATAGATGTAAATATATCTACATGAAGTTCATTTTCAACATAGGGTACCTTCAATATTTATCCAGGAAAAATATTTTCAAACAATTCAGTAGTAGTCAATAGAAATCATTGTTGTTAACTTACAATGGGAAAATATCTGCAAATAATGTACTGTGTATGTAATTACTTACTCATGGTCTAATATAATGTCAAGAGTACTTTATTGCATCTCAAATTGTGTCATTTACAATGGATTTTTAATTATTCTATTTTACATCAAAGGGCACATCACTCTAATTGCATAAATGCAGTGGCTTTAAAACAAGTTGAATCCTTTGACGAGTCATGATGCTCATAATGTGAGTGCTAAGCACTGTAATGCTAAGCAGATGAGAGTCATTGACTCCCCACACCAGTCCATCACAGGTTAACCCCCAGCATAAGTCAGTACCCACTGCAGCAGGGTGGACTGAGACAATGCTGATAAAGTGCCTTGTCTAAAGACACAACATCAAGTGTCCATAGTGGGGTTGAACCAGCAACCTCTGCCAACACCTATGACCACTGGGCATGTGTGTAGTGGTTAGAGCTTCCTTAAAGCAGTGGTTAGAGCTTCCCTAAAGCAATTAATGTGGAATAGAGTAAATCTTAAATTTACTAGTTAATGACATATTTTTCATGTAAATATATAAAGAAACATTGATGTTATGTGCATTATACTTTCAGACAATGCATACAGATTCTATTTAGAATCGAATCAGTCAATCATTGCATTAGTTTCAGAATCTAGTACAGGTATGTTCACTTGTAGTTATGTAACATGTCTCTAACACCTTAAGATATTTAATCAGATTGATATGTGGAGCTTAGTAAACAACTGCTGTGTAAACCAACCTAACAACAAAATGACCATTCAAAGATATCTGAGTGCAGCAACCATGATCGATTGTGTGAGCATTCCAAGGAGTGTAGCAACGAACCAAGGGGAAACGTTGATGGCAGCTATAAGGTGGAATTGAGCGTGAAGAGGGGTTCAATTATATACTAGTAGGCAGTATCTGCTAACCAATTCTAAAGTATTTTACATAACATATTATTCTAATAAATGGAAATTGTGTACTGAGACAGAAAGTTATTTCCATTTTTTTTTCTTAAAAAAAGTGATGTACTCAAACTTTGATAGTGTTCCCAACCGGTAAAATTGAAGTGATTTATTATTTTCTTGGTTGAGAGATATGTTCAATCAAATGTTTAATGTTTCAAGGACATAAAAAAAATGATTTGGGGGGGGGAGGGGGTTGCAGATTTTGGAAATAAGTAATCTGTCATCGAAAATGTTGAAAATAAAATAATCTGTCCTCAAGTAGCAGAAAAAAAATCTGCCCTTGGCTAGTGCTACTACCCCCACCCCACCCCCTCACCCACCGAAATAGAGTTTGGGAGTTTGGGTGTCTTCCTTTTTTTTCTTGTCAAACTTTTTTCATTGCAGAAGAAAATAATTAATCTGTCTTTGATCATCTTGAAAATAAATAATCTGTCCTTGACTGGTATGAAAATAAATAATCTAACTCGAAATATTTTGCCAGCCCCCCCCCCCCTTCCCAAATAAAATGGTCATCTCCTTAAGTTGACGTTATCTGAAATTTTCTAACAACGAATTCAAGGTTGTCTTCAGAACTCTAAATTCCAGGTAAATTGGGATCATAAAATAGGGAGAATTTAAAAAGAAACATTTACATAATATAGAACTCTTATTCAGATATAAGGGAATCACTGTCTGTTTTAAATGAAATACGGTACATTTACCAAGGATTTAAAGATTTCTTATCTTTATTATGGGCTTTAAACTTAACAGAGATGTATATTTCACGATAAACATAACAATTTTGTTTACCTTTCTTTTTAAGTTATTTTATTCCTGTAAAATATATCTACATTAAATATCTGTGTATTTGTATTAACCAATACAAAAACTGTTAAAAAAAAAAATATTTGATTGTATTTGGACAATCCTATTCCGAGTTCCTGTCCGTAAAATCCATTGCGTAGTTTAGAGTTTATAAGGAAATGAAGTATCACAGACAATAATTAGTATTAAATATAAATTAATTTCTGTTTGGCACTAAAAATTTCAAGGCTGAGGAAACCTTCACCTTGCTGTATCTGATCCTATAATAGGAGCAATTCTGTTCTGATCTAAACCAGCAAATCCAGCCGCCATTTCTATGAAGTTCATCCCTATATCGGCACCTGTTACCACCATTAGAAATAACGTCAGAGGGTCTCTCTTGTCTTGAAAATATAATTGAAAGAAAATAAAACAAGCCGTGACAGTAGCTGTCATTTTGAAGTATCCTATCAAATACACGACTCTGTCTGCTTTGCTTTCGTATCGTGAGATCAGGACTGTTAGAACTAAAGCTGCTACAAAAATCAAAGCCAAATAGGCGAAGAAAACATTTCTCCAATGATCACTCATGAAGCTGAATCCTGTGTTAATCCAAGCCATGGCAATCTCAGCGGCATCGAAACCGTAGCCTATCCACATACGGAAAATAAAAATCCTTGCTGCATTGCTTTCTCCGAGTTTATAAACTCCAATGCAATAAAGAGTATCCATGATTGCAGAATTATAACTTGATCTAATTAAAGTCCTTCGTCATTATGTTCTTTTTTGTTTAATTAGGGCAAAGCGTGCTTGATAGAGCTCGGCGGTTTGATTTTCAGAGGTGTTTCGACTTGCTTTGTCTATAAAACCTAAACATACAATCTTTACTTCTGTTTATTTATGAAGGTTTAAATGCCATGTTCAAGTTGTTCTGAACTTAAATATCCCCCAAACGTTTACTTGAATAGATTTTATTATCACATACGTCTTTGAACCAGAAGTTTGATTTTTGGAAAACGCATGCATTCTATTCATTAGTTTTCCGCTTCAAGTCGCCCAGAAATTCAGTAATATAAAGTCGTATTGATCTAGGATGTTCTGCAAATGATTTAAATGACAAAAGTCATTTCTGGTATTAATATCCGTAGAACACAATATACATGTGCTGAAAAATTCTTTACTAATGAACATGACACTTTATCAATATTTAATTCCGGCAAAATCTACACTGTTCTTGTTGTTCAAAGGAATGTTTGGATTTAGTCATTGGATTTAATCAACATACAATGCAGAGAAGGTTGAACCCATAATCAAAAGTGCTATAATAGACAAATATTCAAATTCATGTCCCTGGCAATCTAATTAGAATTAGACTTGTTCGTATTTTCGCTCCTCTGCTTGTATTTGAATCGTATAGTAGAGGAGCGAAAATACTAGTCTAATTAGATTGTGTCTCTGGATGCATACTCAGTGGCGGATTTGAAGGACCCCTCCCCCTTTCTTGAAGTAGGACAACATGTATACTGATCGATTTGTAATCTCAATGTTAAGATTTAAGAATAATAAGGAAGCCAGTTGTCGTTAGTAAAAGAAAGCGACCAGAACAGCTAACTTGTTATTCTTCCTGGTAATCTTTTGACTTTTCCTGGTAATCTTTTGACTTTGCCCCCCCCCCCCCCAAACTGGAAATCATCGATAACGCAGGCCCGTAGGAAGCAATTTCAGTTTGGGGGGGGGGGGGCACAGCCATACATTTTCAGTTGAGGAGGCATTATCTACTACCAAAAACTTCTTGACAAGCAAAAAAAAAAAAAAAAAAAAAAAAAAAAAAAAAAAAAATCAGACGTTTTTATTGAGGGGGCACAGGTATATAGTATCTATGTTTTCTATAGTAAACTATATATCGGCAAAATTATTGGGGGGGGGGGGGCACGGCCCCCCGTGCCCCCCCCCCCCCCCCCGGTTCCTACGGCCATGTAACGAATGGAAATATAAGCAATTTACACTAATAAAAAATAGAATAGAATTATATTTTAAAGAAATAACATAAATAAATATAAACATTTAAGCCTAGCAATATAATATCTGAATGCCCTGAGTTTCGAGGAATTGCACTGGATATATATATATACCGGCTACCGGCGAAATATCAAATATTGTCTTCTTTAAGGCCATTCAAAGATTTTTCTAGGTTTAAGCGCCCGAGTTTGTCTTGGTTTCTAACACAAAAATCAGAGGAAGACACACATACACACAATCTAGAAGTCAAGAAATTGATATTTTTGGGGCTGGAATCCTTTCAATTTTAATTTTGTCTACTTGATTTCTTTCAAGAATCTGTCAATTAAATTAGGTAAAGTATATTCTTCGCATTTATAATTAAATAATAAATTGAAATAACGTTCTACGAGAAAATAGAATTAAGAAATCAAATGATTTGAATGATGTTTTTATGACTTTTATTCCTTGACTTGTGTTTTTCTGCATCCTCACAATGTCAAGGTTTTGTGATTTCGGAACTCCACACAAACCCTTGACATAAGTCGCTATTTAAAAGTTGGGTTTGTGGTTACACATGACGTAATGGGTAATTATAAACTAACCAATGAGAATATATTTTTCAAATCCGTCGTTTTCAAATGGCCCAACTCCAGTGCATATCTTTTGTGATTTTTAGGAGGACGATCTTCCAAAAATTTATCCCAGTGTTTCGTTTAATGTAACTAGTCACAAATTTTACAATATTGACACTTTCCATTTTAAAGACGAGTCATATTTCTTTACAAAACTTACCAACAATAAAAGCTGTTTTCTGATTGGTTCCAGTCCTAGACCAGGAACAAATGAAATAGTAGCTTTCCGGCCCAACTTTTAAATAGCGACTTACGTCAAGGGTTTGTGTGGAGTTCCGAAATCACAAAAACCTTGACATTGTGAGGAAAGTTTTTCTGTGAATTTAATAGATTTCTGTTTTTATTCCGACGTTCAAATAGAAATCATGAATATGCAAAATTCTGTTTTTGCATTTACGTATAAATACTGTGTGAGTAGACTGTGCCCAATTCAATGGTCCTGCTGTGAAATTGATTTCAAATTCATTCAAAACTAACACCGGATCATATGCATGATATTTACCCTTATTCCTTAATATTGGTAGTTTAGAAAGATTTTCGGTTACAAGTGGGAAGGCATCATCACAATGTCAAGGTTGACATTGTGAGGATGGTGGGAAGGAAAAAAAAAAAGAAAGAAAAGATTATAAGGAGCTTTGAAAACAGTGTATACAACCTTGAGCAGATCAATTTGAGAAGCCGAAATTTTTACGTACGCGTGACTAAGGTAACTCTTTGGTTGAAAGAAGTTATGAAAGTATACAGAGAAAATTCTGATTAAAATTACGCTAGGAGAAGGATTTAGAGTAGATACAGATAAAATAGATTTACACTGAAGGGAATAATCGATAGCAAAGAAGTCCAAGATACATCCGAATTTTAAGGCAAGTTAATTTTAGTTTATTAGTTTATTATACATATTTCTTGAAACTGTCAGTTCGACAGGTTTGACAGACAGTGAGACAGACTGAGACTGTCACTAGTGTCAGGAAAGTGACAATTAGGCCTAATGAATCATTTTTCAAAAGGAAATTTTCATATAATGTTAGACACTTGAGAAAATCATTGCAAAAAATATTTTCTCTCAAATTCTTTGTCACTATGCATGCTTTATATCTCTGTATCTGACAGAATAATACACAGGCTGACAGCTGACCATATTAGTTACTACTACGTAAAATTGAATTCTCTAGAAAAAAGCAAATACCAAATACCCCCTCCCCCAAAAAAATGTAGAAAAGTAGAGGACATCAAGAAAATTGGAATGTGATTCATAACACAGGCACCAGAGGTTATAGTTTAAATATTGAATATGCGGTGCATTTACATGTATATAACCTTTTTTTTTATACAGCACATACTCAATATTTACAAATAACTTCCGGTGCATGTGATTCAAAACATTTCACATTTATAACAACAAACCATTTGAACAATTCTTTGCTTGGACATGCCCATTGAGGTGATTCATAATTTTGAACATAGACCATCTGTACTCTGGTACTTATAGATCTTTGTTTGGACTAACAATGTCTTGAATGTCTAACAGTTTAAGCAAAATTCCAAAACTCAGGCATTGCAATGTAAAGTCTAGCCTGATCATACCACATGCTTTTGTTTCTAATTCATTTGTTCCTGATTAATGATGCATCCGCATTACTTGAAACATACTTTTTATGATTGGTAAATATAAATAATTCTGTTCCCCATAAATTTTGTCCATAAAGTGAATTAGCATCACTATTAATGGCGTCCAGAATAATGATTCTCAGCTGTACTTGCATGTTCTAAATCTGATTTTTGTCGTTACAGGTGTTATAATGTGCTGATCCCTAATGTCACTGGTAGGTTATAATTGCAGAATTCTATTTTTAAAAAACTTAGTTCAACATATATTCCAGATGTGTATCTATGCTAAAAGCTAATTAAACTTGAATTTTGATATAAAATAAGTTGAAAATTAAGCCTTTGTCAGAATAAAAGAAACATAGATATTTATAATATAGCTTAATTACACTGACAAACACCCTCACAATGTCAGAGGTCCTGAGTCCACTTTTAGCCATGGGACACCTGACAAACTTCATTTGAGTTTTTATAGGCTGACTGCAGCCATTCCTTTGGGGAAATTACAAGTCATGATTGTTTTTCTTATATCTCGAACAATCAAATGAAGCCTTTTAGTGACAAATATCCTGTGACAGGTGCATTTCTTTTTACTTTTTATGTCAACTTATGAAAGCCTCAATTTGATTGGTGCTTCTCAATGAGGGAAGCAACTCAAATAAAATCGAATTAAGTTTGTCAGGTGTCCCATGGCCATGAGTAGACTTGAGACCCCTGATGTTGTGAGGATGAGTATCAAATAGCATTGTAAATTGCATTCAATTTTAATAAGTTGAAAAAGAAATTTTTGCCAGAATAAACATAGATATCATGTTTATCATGAAATTTATTTACACTGACAACATGTTTTGTAATGTTTCAGAACTGTGCCTCGTGTACTAAGCCTAGGACACTCGACTCTGGTGGAAATGCTCCCTATTATAAACCAATGAATGTGGTAAGTGTACATTGCACACATTTAACCAATCATCTTGCTAATAAATAATGTTTACTTTAGAAATGACAATCATTAATCCACTTAATTATTATAACACCAGAATTTACAAATACAGTGGAAGGAAATTTTCTGAGCTAAATTATCTTTGATTCCTGCAGAATTATACTCAAGAGTACGTTCTATCCCCTGCCGCAATAATTGCAATGTTTACAAAATTTGATGACTTTATATATTCAGAATAAATCCTTCCAAAATTCTACTAGAATTTTTCCCTATTAAAAAGTTTTTGTCTTTGAAAGTTGATGAATAGGCCTAATCTTTATTCATCTTATTCTCATTTTCTCTCTCACAAACCCTTTTTTTTTTAAGTCCGAAAGAGTTTTTTAAAAAAAAATATTTAGCTATTAGTTCCTCTGTGTATTTTCAATGTCATCTGAGATCTGTTTGTGAGTCTAACAAATCAGTTCAGACATCTTTTTAATTGATACTTATAATTCAAATAATAATTTGTTAATATTTCAGATAATCTACTAATATAATTAGCAAAAACATCCCTTAGTAAAGGGCGAACATGTATAAGGTAATATAAGGATAAACAATGCATGATTCTGTAGTAATATTGTCAACATGTGCTAATGTTTCACTCCTCTTAATAGTAGCATATTAATTTCAATCTATGTTTGTAAATTCAGTCACATCTAACGTTATTCATATTTTGTCTTTATGCTTGTTGTGACTCATCAGAATTAGAATCATTGTGTCTTAACAATCGGATATCTTTTTATTTGTTGTTAAAATTATTCCATTTTTCTCAACATGGTTATAAGAATGATCAGTGGTATTCACTTTATAAATTTATCAGAGTATGTCTTTCTTTCTGTTCTTGAGGATATTGTTTGCATGACACCTATATTTGTCAGCTGTATATTTCTGTTTAATAAGGGAGTCTCTTTGCTTTCTGTATCTTGCTGGAAAGTGTCTATAATTGTGGTGTACTGTGTAAGCTTTTATTGTCTCTTAAATTAACTGATTTGTTGGTCATGTTATGGTAATATAGACTCCATTATGGGGGGACAGCTCCTCAGTCCTGCTGCAAATGTACTGCATTTTACTCTTTTCATCAAACAATATTATCGATATGCAACCAAGTCCATTTCCCCATCTCATCATACAAGTTCTGAATCTTCAAAGGCTTTACATTTCTCTTCTTCATGCTCTTGTGGCTTGTTAAAAAAGTACATATAGTAAATTTGTGAAGAGGAATTGCATTGGAAGCAGCTATGGATCAAGAGTAATGAACTCGTACTCAGTGTCTTTGATATTGTACAATCTAAATACTAATTAGAATAAGTAGTTAAAAATTGTTTTAGTATTAGTAATACTAGTAGTGTCATTTTGATCAATATACTACAATGTACACTACCTAGGTAATAGCTATTTCACGATAACAAATAGAATATTGCAGGAAGTATCTTTTTACCTTGTTGTCACTGTGGTTAATTTTGCTTTCTTTGTCAGCAGATTATGTGGTGGTAGAACTGTAGGTGTTGATGCTGGAATTTTTTAAAATAGTTCTTTAAAAAATGAGTCTTAGTAAGAATTTATTTTGGTAACAATATTTTAGAATTTTGATCAGGTTCTTGAAATTCATAATGGTAAGCATATGATTTTTGTTTTACAACCTTTTTTTTCTAATATAATGAAAAGAGATAAATCATCTTTCGAAAAATCCCCTGCTGACACTTCTGTTTTACATTTTTGTTTTGTTTCATTGGAAAAATTTTATATTGTTTCCATTCATAGTTATGTTGTCTGAGGAACATGCAATTTTACTTCTAAATTTGTATTATTTTGTTTCTGTTCATCGACAAGTACAACCATTTCTTCCCTGAAATAAAGAATAATTTGCACTTTTTATTAATTTACTTGTCCAGAACCATCCAAGTTAAATACTGTAGATTCCTTATTTTACGCGAGTACTTAATATCGCAAAATGGCCCAAGGGCGTCAAATCGCGAAAAAAATACTTAGCGATTGGGTGATTTATCTAGAGATTTTACATACATTAAAGCACCATAAAAATAAAAGCGAGTAATTTTATTTCGCGAGTGGTGCTTCTCGCGATATTACACAATAATTAATTCCTTGCGTATATTTAGGAATCTACATGATTTCATATTTGATATTTCTGAAAAAGAAATCTCTGTTTACTGTTGAAAATAAAGATTGTAGTTATTTAAATAAAATCACACGTTTGGTGAAAAATCACAGAATTTGAGGAAAATCTTGATGAATTATATTTCAGTTTTCCATATGTCTATTTTATAGTGCTTAATGGTGTGAGGGGCTAAACTTGAAATTTGGAAAGTATGCATCTTTTTTTTCAGGCATCAAAGCAAGGCTCACAAAGCTTTGGCAGTCAGGACAGTGATAATCTAAGAGTACCAATAACATGGCAGCCAGACGTCACACAGTATCAACTCCACAATGTCATAGGTGTGTCTGCTTAAGTCTCAACACAACTTACTGTAAAAGTGGTTATATTGAAGGGTTGAAAGTGTGATGATTTCAGTATTTTAGAAAAATGGCGAATGGTAACTTTGACGATCTACTAGTAATTTATCAGTGCTCTTTGACAGAAATGTGAAAGTTGAGTAGCACCTTTGACGATTATTAGAAATTCGTCAATTTTATCATCGTTTTCATATTGTCAAAGTTTCCACTTTTACAGTAGCTTTTTCGAGCTATTTTTTAAAAAATGCATAATGTTCAAAGTAAAGAGATATAGTACAAGTTTAATTATACAGTAGAATTTTGGTATCTGTAATACATGTACCAATATCTCAAATACCATGGATGTGTGGAAGTGAATTGGAATTTCCAACCTATTTTTTTTCCTTTATGAATTTTCTTCTCAATATATCCTTGGATATCTCTGTTTTTCTTCAGCCCCATGGAGTTCAGATAACAAGGTTTGACTGTATGTTTATTTACATGAAAACAGGTAGAGGAACATATGGCTCTATTACGGTTCATCTTGCCCAACACCTCCCGAGCGGGAAAAGTGTGGCTATCAAACGGATCAATATTGAAAAGAGTCCTGTGGAATTCAAAGTGTTTCAGGTAAAGGGGTGAAATAAAATAGCAAAATTATCTTCATTCAAAGAGTTAAATCATCATGGTCTACAGCGTTATATTTTGAACTAAAAGAAGAATAGGCAGTAATGGCCACTACCTGCCTCAAAATTTAAACTTTTGAGAAATCATGCAATAAAAACGTAGATTTCAAAACAATTAAGTATTTTCATCAACTATAAGGCCCATAGGAAATGGGGGACCCCCCCTCTTATTTTGACACTATATATTTTAAAATAGAAAGCAAGGCTAATTTATAATTGTGCTTCCTCAATAATTTTGTCAGTATATATAGGGTCTCCATTTCGTTTTCAGGATGAAGTGATACTTTGTAGACAGATGTACCATGAAAACATAGTGAAATACCACTCTACATTTGTTAATGATAAAGAACTATGGATTGTATTACCTCTACTGGGATATGGTGAGAGAGCTACAGATATTTTCATGTTAAAGAGGACCTGTCAAACTATTCCCTCCAAAACTGTACCTTGTATCACAGTTAGATTGATATGTACCAGTATAATGAAATTCACAGATTATCAATAAGGGTTGAGCCATTAAAATGAAACAAAGACACACATACATGTAATGGTCAATTTCTACAGTTGTCCAGTTTTATAAAGATAGCACAGATCATTCAAACCCATTTCTTTGGTATGGCAGATGGAATGGAATTGCAAAAATTGTAAATGTAGAATCATGAAAATTTTGGGTTGTAGTAATTGCCTGTTATACATGTTATGTGGTATTTTGTATTTGAGATATTTAGGTTAAGTTTAATTGCTGTTTTGACAGGGTCTGCTAGAGATGTCCTGCATGCCTACTTTAAGACAGGTCTACCCGAGACAGCCATTGCCTACATACTAAGAGATGTAGTCAGTGCTTTAGACTATCTTCACAATCGAGGAATAATTCACAGGTAACTGATATGGAAACATAAACTATACAGTTAAACTTTGATACCTCCAAACCTTGATATATTGAATTTATGGGATGTGTGAAAGTAAGTGGATTGTCCTGAACTTATTTGAGATTCAGATTGATGTGTTTAACATCTCATCATAGGTATTCCATAGGTCTAATATGTTTGGGAAATCAAGGTTGGATTGTATTTTGATTTTATTTGTAATTAACTTAAAATTTTGAATTAAAAACCTCAGTTTTCCTATAGAATTATTGATTTAATTCAATGCTTTCATCTCATGTACAAAATTATGTAATTTGCTAATACACATATTTTGCATTGAATAATTTACTCATATGTCTATCACAATCTAACATGTTCTTTGTAAAACAAATAATTGAAAAGAAATTGGTTATTAATTTGAGATTGAAAGGGGGGAAGTTTTCCTAATTTTGAATTTTCATTTGCCTATTTTCAGGAGTGTAAGAGCTAGTCATATTTTGATTGGAGGTAATGGTAACGTGTGTTTAGCAGGACTACGCAGTGCTTATCACCTAATTTACCATGGCAAGAAATGGTCTCGTGTCTATGACTACCCTAATGCCTGTAATGGTGATCTACAATGGCTTAGCCCAGAAATTCTAGAACAGGTGAATTTTGAAAAGAATCATAATTATTATACTTTTAGCTTACCTGAGCGAAAGGCATAGGTGTTTAGTGTCTAATTTTCTGACTATCTGTCTTGTGTTATGAATATTTTTTCACATTTTTATCCTCTGCCCCAGAGCCCCTGAACCAGTTTTGTCATGCATTATTCTTGGCAAATGAGAATTAAATTTGTAAAATTAAAAAAAAGTTAAAGACCATGCCTTCTTTAAAGGGAGGTAATTAAGACATGGCAAAAATATGCTACTTTCATTTAAGAAATGTTATCCCATAGATAAACTAACATAACAAACTTTTGTATATATTTATTTAAATGACATGAATTTATATTGAACATTGGTAAACAAATTAATGCTGAATATTCATTTGCAAATTTAAGCTATATGAATTACCATGAGTTACCTTATTCTTGTAGAATTTGTCAGGATATGATACGAAATCTGATATATACAGTTTTGGGATCACCAGTTGGGAACTGGCCAATGGTTATCCTCCTTTTGAGGATATGCCTGTCACTCAGGTAAATATAAGTAAAGTCTTTTATCATTGAAATTAGAGGTGTCCTGGATTTCCACCTAAAGAGGATGGTGCAAACATTTTTTTTTTGTAAAGGAGAAAAGAGAAGAAAAATGGTACATATATGTGGAAAAAATATTGAGTGTTTTCATGGATTTTGATATTAAATATCACTTTTAAAATTGGTTCAAAATGCATTCATTTCAAATATTTTATTTACAGATTGCACATTTTTTTTAAGTCCAAAAATTTTTGGGGCAATTTAGGAGTGGATATATCATATGTGCATCCCTCCTAAATCTGCCAGTGGACACCAACTTGAAAAATTGAGCTCTAAAGAACTGCAAACTTCCAGATGCATGATTTTGTCTCTACACTTTGTACTGTTATATTAGCTAAATAAAAATTTGATATGGAGTGGGAATATTCTGAGGACGATTCTGAGACTTTCCTAATGTATGCACATATTTTACAGATGTTGTTGGAAAAGGTGAATGGTACAAAACCTATGTTACCGGACTGTACCACAATAGGGGAGCTTACAGGGGAGGAGGAAGGTCAGAAATTGATGCTTTAACCCACCCATTCTTTACTTAATTCTATAAATGTTCCCTCTCTATTTGATTGAAATTCTTTGATCTGCTCATATAGATCTCTATGCAAATAATAGTGGTCAATGTGAATGAGTCACATTTCAATTGGATTTTTACGACTTCTTGTATGATGAATTCCTTCACTTGTAGATTGAATTATATTCAAATCTTTTTGCTCCTTGCTTAGAGAAATGAAGTACAATCTTAAGGTTCATCGATACTCTCATAAGAGAGATAACTCTTAATGACATAAATATCTATTATTCCTTTATAAAGACAAGTTGAAATGTCTTTTTTGTCCAATTTTGCCCAGCAAGCTATGCTATAATTGTTTGTATTTTACTGAACAAATAAATTTCTTTTGGTAAATCATAAGAGTTAAAGAAACATTTTATATGAGTGAGCAGAGGGTTTATGAACCTTAATGTTTGATGATCTCTTTGGTTTATGCAGATCAGCACAATGCCAACATGGAGAATGGAGGTATTGATATTGTGGCCATTGCAAAGGCTCGCAAGTTTTCATCCTATTTTCACAGTTTGTTGGACAGGTGTTTAGAGAAAAACCCTCAATGTCGGTAAGAAAGTTACCTGACAGTAACTCTTCAACTACAGAATATTTGATTGAAGAAATTTACATAGCCTTTACCCTTTGATTATTTCTTTATGGTTACATTCATGATTACGAATAATTGTCATTTCATTAATGAAATAGTACAGGCTTACCTGATGCTACTTGAATAAAGTTAAATATTTATCGTGTAGTAGGACACACCCCAGATAAAATGGAATGAAAAGTAGGACAAATGCTTCTGTATTTGTCTATATTTGTACTATACATATGTATGTAGGTGATTTTTTTCTTGTTAAATAGACCTACAGCTGAGGGTCTTCTGACGGACTCCATGTTTAAACAATTGAAGAGGAAATCAACAGAGGCCCTGCCAAACCTCTTACAACCCCTCACTCCTATCAAACTGGCTAATTTAACCAGCGTTACAACAGAGGGTAAGCAAATCAACTGGCTAACAACCCCTCACTCCTATCACACTGGCTAATTTAGCCAACGTTACAGAGGGTAAGCAAATCAAACTGGCTAATTAAGCCAGTATTACAGAAAGTAAGCAAATCAAACTAGCAAATTTAGCCAGTGTTACAAAGGATTAGCAAATCCAACTCACAAAATTGGCATGCAGAGGGTAGGCATATCAAAATGGTTAATTTTATTAGTGTTATAGAGGGTAAGCAATTCAAACTGGCTAACAACCCCTCACTCCTATCAAACTGGCTAATTTAGACAGTTTACAGAGGGCAAGCAAATCAAACTGGCCAATTTAGACAGTGTACAAAGGGTAAGCAAATCAAATTTTCTAATTTAGACAGTGTACAGAGGATAGCAAATCAAACTGGCTAATTTAGACAGTGTACAGAGGGCAAGCAAATCAAACTTGCTAATTTAGACAGTGTACAGAGGGTAGGCAAATCAAACTGGCTAATTTAGACAGTGTACAGAGGGTAAGCAAATCAAACTGGCTGATTTAGATAGTGTACAAAGGGGAGCCAAATGAAACTGGCTAAATTAGACAGTGTACAGAGGGTAAGCAAATCAAACTGGCTGATTTAGACAGTGTACAGAGGGTAAGCAAATCAAACTGGCTGATTTAGACAGTGTACAGAGGGTACGCAAATCAAATTTTCTAATTTAGACAGTGTTCAGAGGATAGGCAAATCAAACTGGCTAATTTAGACAGTGTACAGAGGGCAAGCAAATCAAACTTGCTAATTTAGACAGTGTACAGAGGGTAAGCAAATCAAACTGGCTAATTTAGACAGTGTACAGAGGGTAAGCAAATCAAACTGGCTGATTTAGATAGTGTACAAAGGGGAGCCAAATGAAACTGGCTAAATTAGACAGTGTACAGAGGGTAAGCAAATCAAACTGGCTGATTTAGACAGTGTACAGAGGGTAAGCAAATCAAACTGGCTGATTTAGACAGTGTACAGAGGGTACGCAAATCAAATTTTCTAATTTAGACAGTGTTCAGAGGATAGGCAAATCAAACTGGCTAATTAAGACAGTGTACAGAGGGCAAGCAAATCAAACTGGCCAATTTAGACAGTGTACAAAGGTTAAGCAAATCAAATTTTCTAATTTAGACAGTGTACAGAGGGTAAGCAAATCAAACTGGCTGATTTAGATAGTGTACAGAGGGTAAGCAAATCAAACTGGCTGATTTAGATAGTGTACAGAGGGTAGGCAAATCAAACTGGCTAATTTAGACGAGAACAGAGAGTAAGCAAATCAAACTGGCTAATTTAGACAGTGTACAGAGGGTAAGCAAATCAAACTGGCTGATTTAGACAGTGTACAAAGGGGAGCCAAATGAAACTGGCTAAATTAGACAGTGTACAGAGGGTAAGCAAATTCTAACTGGCTAATTTAGACAGTGTACAGAGGATAGGCAAATCAAACTGGCCAACTTAAAACCATTGTTACAGAGGATAAGCAAATTCACAGAAAATGCTTTCAATTCTCCTTGTAAAAAATCGTTGAGTTCTGAGTTCAGAATGAAAAAGGGCTGGTGTGTGGGTGTTTAGAGGGGGGATGCTCTCCAGATTTATAGGTTAATCAATTATGTCCCTCCTCCCCCTTTAAAATGAAAAAAAAAATGAAATTCATAAGCATGTTTTCTTGCAGATGAAGCAGCAGATTCTTTGGTTGAAGACATGGAGCAAGTGAATTTAGTCGGTGAATGGGACTTCTAGATGTCATAATCGTGCAGCATCGTGATGTTTGTTAGTGAAACTGTTTTGTTTGAATTTATTAACTGCAATTTTGTTATATTAAGATAAATCATTTTAAGGAAAATTGACATGAATTTCCAGTACTTTTATTTATCATCTGAATGGAGTTCACTGTTAATGAGAATGCTCAAATACATATTGTATGTTAAACCATTTAATTTTTTTTATATACAATCGATAAGAACATATTTTTTACAATTATTTTGATAGAAAACATTTAATAGAAGGAAGCATGTCTTAAAGCTGAACTTGCTTTTGAAGAATACAGGTTTGACTATCATAAGGATCCAGTAACACAAAGATGTGGAATTAACTTGACTTGTCTCCAAATTAATCTTAAGATCAATATTAAGGTCAAAAATACAATTACCAGAAGTATCATTAACAGACATTCTTGCAACAGTCTAGTGTATATACGTACATGTATGCAGATTAGTCAGTTGATATCTCAAAAAGAAAATAACATGAAATTGAGGGATACATTGCAAGAAAGCTTTATTATTAAAGCCAAGTAAATTGCATGGTAAGAAAATACTTCACAATATTAGCTACACATATTTTCTAAATTTCAGTACTGTTCAAGTAAAAGTAAAGTCCATTCTGTTTTATTGCAGTAACTCCTTTGTCAAATTACTGTTGAATCCCTAATTTTGGGGGGGGGGGGGGTTCAATTTGCTTTAAGTTTGTTAGTAGCCCCAATCTGATTAAAATCAGATCCTCGATGCTCCTTTTTTAACGATATGTCGGTTACGGTCGTAAGCAACATATCGTTAAAAAAGGAGCATCGAGGATCTGATTTTAATCAGATTGTTGGTAGCCCTTACCCTGGAATGTATAACCTCAACAAATATTGAAATGTAGGTGATGCTTTCATAAGATGTCTGATCATGAAATTATCTCCTTTATACAAAAGCAATTCAAGAGAAATGTCCCCTTAAATTGCACCGAAGTACAGTTTTTTAGCTAACTTTTTTGCCTAACTGAATGCTGTAGGCCTGTTTTCTGTTTTGCTTTTTCTATTAATTCAAACCTCTTCAAGAAAATAATATAACCAAAGGTACATTTGGTGTATAAAGCTACATTCTGTGCCTGTCGATGAAATGAAATTATCTATTAAAAAATGAAATGTCATCCCTTTTGTAGACCATCTTATTTAACTGTCACGTGACCCTCACCATCCCCCCATGACCTGCTTCATCATACGTCTGAGGCCCTCCTCCTGGAAACCCTTGTTAGTAGCTGAAACATAAAACCTCTGATCCATTAATTATAAAGTGTATTTAAATAAATATTAAAGGTTTTCAGGAGAGTGTGAGTTTAATACAGAAAATAGTTTAATTTTTTGCTTACAGATGAAATTATTTTAAAAAACTGACTGAAAAAATTAGTTCGTCTGTTCATTTTGTAATTTTTGAAATCCCTATTGCGACCTGAGTTATTTGAACAATCAACTCCTCATTTAAAAAAAAAGAAAACAGAATCTTTGAAGATAAAAACTTACCAAACAATGCTCCTGTGTATCCGTAACCATCCCAGCAGCCGTAGGGGTTGAGGGTGATAGGAGTAACCTGGGGGTACAGGATGATGATGTCATTTATCTCCCCTACCTCATTATAACCCCCATGCTTGACATAGTCCTCATTAATGTAATGTCTGTCAGATAGAATTAAAGTTACAATAATTCGGTAATTTTTCAAATAAGATTTTTAAAGATAAATATTTATCCATTTTAGCATGTCTATGAATAATGATCAATGCATTGGCCGTTAATAATCTTCTCTCTACATACATTGGACATGACCAGAATTCTAATTATTTAAATCCACAATACCTGCCCATGGCACAGCCATGCAAAGCGACATGGAGTTTACATTCTGAAATAGAAACATGAAGCTCTTATACAGATATATAAAATGTACACATGTAAAAATATAAGATTTTATGTAGATGTGTACTTGATCAGTCAGTTATAATAAAACGAATTAAAGCCCATGGGTTCCAGTGCTTACATTAACTGCAATTCTGTTCATATAGTTTACTTAAGTATCTTGATGTGAAAAGGTTTACTTCTACAATCATGTTAAAATATCTTTCTTCCCTTCAAATTCTTCATTATATGGCATCAAATTATATATTTGGGATACTACGTGTATACGCATTTATTGAGGTGGGGTTATGGATGTATTTTTGGAAGTACACCTCCTATTCATTAGCATTAATTATGTAGAGTAATTATGTAGAGTAATATACGACAACTGACTGTGGGACTTGTCCAGACATCTTGATGGTATATAAATATATCCCGTGTTATCTAAGCTGTATGTTATTGGAGGCGCAGCAAAAAATGCAGCCTGGTCAAACTTCCTCAGCTGTATAGGAAAAGAACGACGTGTATTAAAGAGTCCTTCAAGCAATCAAATACTTTAGATTTACGTTCCCAAATTAATTGTTTAGAATCATTATAATACCCTTTACGTGAAGTCTGATTTTAGAATCCTTAAACAAAGTTAAACATATGATTTTAAACACTAGTGTGAGGAAAAAATGTTTAAAAAAAAAGAAAGTAAAAATAATTTCAGCAAAAAATGCTTACCTCTCCAGCCGCAGTCGTATTTTGCGATGGCCTCTGAAATTTATATTACTTATTCTTAAAAAAGGAATATAGTATATATACACGTTTGCCAAAATACATAAGATGAAATGTACTCACTCTTAAGTGGCCCCCATAGATAAAGTTTAGGATTTCGAACGCTCCGTTATATCCACAGTTGTTCAGGAAGTTGGTTTTTGACAGAACTGTGCAGGGTCCACCTATTTTATCCGTTGGCTACAAAACATGTTTCATATATAATTTGATAAAACAACCAAGTATCTCACTGCGAGGCTTTTAACGAGGCCGAGTCAAATTCGCAAATTATTGACAATGGATGAAGAAATGTAGGAAATTAGGATCTAATTAGGATCGATGTCTTGCTCTACTTAATCTTCAAGCTCCATGTGGACTCGGTGCTAAAAAGAATAATTAATCTTTTTCTGAGCGCAAGAGGTTAGATATACCCACAATTATTTGATAACAAGTCATTTATGAGTTTAAACAGAGAAGTTGACTTTAGTAATTAAAATGCTTAAGAGCGTTCAGGACCTTTAGAACTCTGTGTTAGGTTCCGCTGTATAAGCATCTTGGTTTTGTTTTTGTTTTTTTTTAAACAAAACTGTCGAATAAGAAATTCCCAGTGCTCTATTTTAAAGCCGCTTACCCCGCCCTACACGACCGCACAGCTTTGGTCATTTACCGATATCTGTGTATGTAAAGCAAATTTACAGGGTGTACTGATTGATAAAGAAGATGGGCGAACAGGAGAGCAAAATACCTATTGTGTGTCAAACAAGAAAGTGAAAAATTATATCTTAAGTATGACAAAATTTTCTTTGAAATTTCATTTAACATTAACATATACTTTACATAAAATCTCCACAATTTGCAACAAAGATTGAAATTATTCGTCAATGAAATCGCATATACACACCAAACAGGGCAAAAATGATCATTTTTCCTACTATATATCATAATTTTTCCATATTAGTGGGTCTTCGCTCCATTTGTTTTGTTTTTTTTTTAAATAAAAGTTAATACTCAAAGTATGCGTAAAACTATTCATATTTTGATTAAAAAAAAAAAAAAAAAAAAAAACAAGAAGCAAAGACCCACTATCTCCTAAAAAATTGCACTTTTATGACACAACATTTGTATCTTTCCGAGAAATATTTATATAGAGTCCATTTAGTCAAGGGTCATTTCACAAACGTGATTTAAATGCCGCTGTTTGTCATGAGATGTGTAAGCATAGTGGTAGCTTGTTAGTCTCAAAGAAAAAAAAGGTACTCAGAATTTTATTGCTTGGGTTCTAACCTCAAGAATAAGATATATTTTTTTTAATCATAGAATGATTTTTGCTTAAAGAATTTTCCGCAGAAAAGTTTTGTTAGTTATAATTTCATACCTTTCAATATTAAGTACTTTACTCTAAATACTGAATTCACACACTGAATATGACTTTCATACATTTTGAAGCTATAGGCATTTTGCCAGCCTTGTTCACCCATCTTCTTTATCTTATAACAATGACATTCTGTAATACAACAAAAACTTAAAAAAGAATCCATACCATGCAATGTTCAGTGTGCATATTAAAGACCTTCTTGATATTGTGGCTGTCATGGATGAAATGCTCGTAAAAACGTGCGATGTTTGGACCGTTGCCTAATAAATTTTATAAATGCAAGATTACAATTCCGTCTTAAATTTTTCAACAACAATATGCGTTTTATTAGTATGTACACTTCTTCAATCTTAAGTACATGTAAATATTTAAAAGTTATCAAGATACTTATGTTATACACTGTAGATGCCAGTTTTGGGTGGAAATGTAAGATTGTAATTTTAAAAAAAATACACTGCATTCTCCATATTTATGTCGAATGTTTGTTCACCTGATTTGTATATTCTATATCACAATATTACATGTAAGTCTCTGTTATACTTGTGCGTGTGGGGGAAAAAAGAAGAATTTTAACATGGAGTCACAACGGAAATGACGTAGAACGATCCATGTTTGTTTCTTTTCCATACCTGGATGTACAACTGAGTCCTCTATTCCGTTAAAGATGAATACTTTGTCATGGCGCATATGGTACGTGGCGTCCACATTACCAAACAGTGCCCCGGATGAGACCAGAGCTTCAAATGTGTACACGGATTCTAGGGACGGCGTCTTCATACAGGTTGCCAATCCAGCCAGAGTACCACCCGAACACGCAAAAGGCACTGGAGTAAATCAATATTGAATAGCATGCGGTGTGTCCAAAAATAATAATAAACCATTGGAACACTTCAAAAGCACCAAAGAGAAGAAAAAAAAAAACCCAGAGAAATACAATGCAGTAAGAAATCTAGAATTTATGGCAATTCTATTCGAAAAAATCCTTTACACAGCAAATCGCATCAATGCCACATAGTCGCACATCATAGCAAACTGTTGTGCACCATATACCATTTCTAAATCTTTCATGACAATACATATATTTTCACTATATATACTGACCTCCCGCTACTATGCCAACTCCCATTATCCTACTGGAGTAGATGACGTGAAGTTGTGACGCCATGATGGCTCCAGACGACACCCCGGACACAGAGAGACTGGAACGGTCTACATTGTAGGTTTCTGGGAGAAACGGCAAATCAAAAATTCATATTTCAAGATACTCTAATTAATCGTTTTTATTTTTTTTAAATTCAGAAAAATTGTTGAAGACCATTCAATTGAATTCAAAATGAATATAAAGAAAAAAGATTGTTTTCGAACGCCTCTTGTAAAAATCAAAATAAAAGAGCAAAGAACATGGGCATTTCGAGCCTTTTGTTCAGTAAAATATAATTATATGTACACACCAAGCGGGGGATCAACTGCAAACACAAGGCTGATACTCAACAATAAACATGGAAACCATGCTTTGTTCATAATGGAAAGTCGCAGATTCAGTTGGTGACTGAAACGAATGGCCTAATAGTAACAGATAAGGAATAATAATGCAAGGGCATGAGTACTGATATCATGATAGCATATTATATAGTGATAAAATAATGTCCTTAGATAGGAACAAAATAAAGTAAAAATAGAAAAAGCAAACAAATAGAAACAAATACATACGTATATGTTCATTATTCACTTGCTTTCATTTTTCTATGTGAGTGAATAAAATGACCAGAATGACCTGATCGGGGGGGGGGGGTCCGGACCCCCTCCCCCGGAATTTGCAGAGTTATTAAAAGTATATACTGAAGCAAATTAAGAATGACTTTGGACCCCCCTCCCCTTAGAAAACGTGGACCACAATACCATCACCACGAAATCGTTTTTTTTTTTTACGTTTGGGAATGGGGTTAAGGTTTCTTTTTTGGATTGGAAATTTTTTGGACTGGAAAAAAATTTCTGGATCCGCGCCTGAATCATAATGTACAGATTATTGAATGATAATGGATTGTTCATTAGAGAATCCTTTCTCTTGTACGTTTTTTTACAAACGAAAAACATCTAATAATCACATACACAATATAAACTCAGTAGCAGATCCAGAATCCTTGAAGAGGGTTGGGGCAACCAGTTGGGGGTGGGGGAAGGGGTCCAAGCCCTCCGGAGCTCTCGGGTTTAAGAAGTTTTATGGAACAGTTTTTGATTTATTTTAGCTATACCTTATGTATAAGTAATACAATTTCTCACAAAAAATGATATATTATTAAATCTTGTGTATATTTTGTTGTAAATTTTGCATTTACCTCCCCCATAGTAAATTCAAAAATCACAACATGATACACAGATTAGGGGGTGGGGTGGGTGGGCCACCTGCCCCCTCTACATCCGCAAATGCAGGTTACATGCAACGAAATAAGTCAGTTTAAAATACAGTTATGTCTCCACTTTGTTTGAATTGATTTATATTTATTATTTAAAAATTTCTTTCCGTATGAAAAAAAAAATTAAGGTTTAAGATATTGCTGAGCAGACATTTCTGAAAAGTTTTAGTGCAAATTGCCTCCAATTGAACACCGATAACATGTACTCCTGTTGAAGGATTGAAGCATAGTATTTCACTTTTGAACGAAATAGTTAAAAGCAATATAATAGAACACATTGAAACTCAGATTAAAAACGCTGGAGAAGGGGACAAAGTCATGAGGTTATGACAAAGAAATGTCGTGGTTGTTAATAAAATGCTGCATTGTTTATTTTAAAAAATCCATTTTATTTAACTATTCACGTGAATATATAAATTTTCTAGCAACATTTACTTTGACAAATATAGGGTGTGTGGGCAACCTTCTTTTCAAACCCGCCATTTACATGAACATATACTCATAACTTTACTAAAAAAGGTGCGTAATATAATGTTTATTTTCATTGAAAAAAAAAACGATAACAGTAGTTTTTAACATTTAATTCCCATTAAATCAATAGACATCTCATGGAATCTATCTTTTTAATTAATTAAAGAAAAAAATATAAATAAAAAGTCTGAAAAATAGTTAAAAATCGAACAATAAAGGAGTATACGATGACAAACAATTATTATATACAAGCATTTAGCGCTAATGATTCGACTAAAAAAAATTAAGAATTTAATGGTTACTTTGTCCAAGTAAAATATCTTACAGAAAAAAAAATAGAACAAAGCATATATTTAAGAAGGACAATTTTAATTGTGTTGGACGAATGGACAGATTTTATTGTTTTGTAAATGTATTTTCATTTTTATCTATCCATTTTATTTTGTTTGTATATTTCATAGTTTACAAAAATTAAGATACTGAGAAATAAGCTCTTATTCAAAGTCATTTTTTAATCAGTAATAAGCTTTCAAAAACAGAGTTAGGACTTCTTCAATGTAAAATCAGGTTAGAATTACCTAAAAAAAAAAAAAAAAAGAAAGAAAAAAAAGCTTATGTAAGGAAATTTGCAAAGATTTCTGGTAAAGTTGACTTGTTATCAAAAAAGATAAATATATTTCCTCCTTAGCCTTCCAAACATGTCAGATCTAGAAAATCCTCCCAGATACTTCACAGACACCCCATGTAACCTCATTTGGAGTAGTTAAAAGTAGCATGACTTTTAAAGTTTTATATCTATATAAGTATACATGTTCTTCTATGCGTATAATGAGAAACGTAAATAAAACCCTTGTTGTTAAGGGGAAAGCCTGCATCAATGACTCGATTATCAGCAGTTCCTGTACATTATATTAGGAATGGCTATTTTTCCAAACGACTCATCAACACGCCCCTTTGTTTAATGTCACACGCGAGACGGAGTAAAATTGCCGTCACAATGGCCTTGTTTAATTTACAAACTCCAACTTTTATTGCACTTGAAAGATACGATATGGGTTTCGTTGTAAAATTTTCAGTTTCCTAATCTTTATATATCGTAAAATTGGTTCTTTTAATGGAAAGACGTTGTGACGTAATCTTGTGAATGATTCCCCCCTTTCTCGTGATTTAAAGGTCAGTTTAATTATATGGACGAATTATTCAGGCCTAGGACGATACATACAAATTAGGTACGATAAACTATTCCTCAGCATTCTCTCCCCATTACTGAAGCAAGACATCAGGATTAATGTTCAGACGCATTGGGGGAATATAAGGCGGTGTCCTCAAAGTTCTCCCCAGTATGCCTCCCTGTCCCTGAGAAGTGATTCATGCAAAAGGTGGTCCTAGGGATAAGCTATTTAAAATTCTTGGTAAGTTGATTATTAATTTTACTATTTTTTTTACGTAAAATAAATGCATATTTAATGGCCTGTGGATGAAAAAAGTATTGATGAAAAATACGGTTTAAAAGTCTTATATTTATATTGTTATCTAGAGAGTAATAAAAATGAAATATACATGTGTATGTACACAATTTTAACTTCAAATTTGTACAGAATTTACAACGTCAATGTTGACAAACTTTGTACAAAAATGAGGAATTTAATTTTTTCACAAGAAAGTAATTCTATTTTCAATACTGGCAAAAATTTCATTTGGAAACGTATTTACAAGCTAATTCCGGATTCTATAATTATTACAGGGGAAATGATAAAAATGTCCCTGGTCAACGTCCTCTTCGTAATTCATACTCCACATTTCTTTTACACACTGACGAATCTGAAAATCTTGAAATAAATAAGAAATAAAATGTTTTACAACATTTGCACATGCCTAATAAAATTTATAGCGTTGTGGGCAAATATTTGCTTTTCTTGATATAGCGTACTTCTACAGTAAAGAGGTTTCCATATCCCTGCAAATCAGGGCAAGTAACAGGGGGTCATTTTAGTTTCATTTAGCATATACTACTATACTCCTCTGGGACGATGAGTTTGGGGGAGGGGAATTTAAGATATCACTCACCAAATTATTTTAGTTAATTATTTTAGTTTCTGATAAAACATTCTCCCGGCGGTGGTCAGGGGTGGTGGACAATTAATCAAGATGAAATTTTAGTAAAAAGAGCCGATCGGGATGTAATCTTAAAGTTGTATTAAATATTTCATTATTTCATGCTCACAGGACCAAAATGTCTTTGATTTGACTAGGTTAGAGCGGTTTTGGCTACGCCTCTCCAGTAATGTCATTTTGTGCAGATCAAACTCATTTCTCAATTTAATGCTAAACGAAACCCGTCGATTGATCACCGAAACACTCGTAATAGGTTGTAGTGTATTAGGTACGCCTGGTAAATTGCATTTCGATTAAAATATGCGCTGTTTAGTGGGAATTTGATAAGGCTTGACTAGAACAATGCGTGATAAACAACGCAGGCTAATTGTGCTAGATAGCCCAGACTGTGTGGTTTGTCTCACTCTGGAAAGGGGCGTACTCGATCTGCATTCTTTGATGCTGATTCTTGTGTTAATTTAATACCAGTACTTAGTATAATTCCCAGTGATATAAACAATTTGTCCGCAAAATGAAAATGAAAGCTTACATTTTAATGAAACTGCACAATTTTCTCCTAATATAAGCGGGAATTTATAAAGTTAGACAGTAAAATAAAGATAATGAATATCAATATAAGTACCCGTGTCTTTTACAGGTTGAGATGGAAATACACGGTTTTGATGACGTAGACAACAGAAGTGAGATCGTACGATGAAGGGAGCATCCGTTGACAGTCAGAAATGACGAGCTGTCATGGAGTTGCTCTCTTTATCGAGAAGGTCTATATCGTCCATTCCTGTTCACGAAAAGGCCATGCCGCCCTTGTCTTTTTTGAGAATTGGATGTATCGGTTTGCTTGATTGAGAAGTAAGAGTAACTGGCATCAACATCATTCGGCAAACACGGGGTGATCTGTAACAAAAATCAACTTCCATTGTAAAGAGTTCGCCATTTCATTCCGGATTTAAACTTGATTAGAGCAATAATTAAGAAAAATTTACCAACAGCAACGTATATTTAAACCTAAACTATAAATAAGAAATCAAATAAGAAGAGCGTGTTATATTATATGATTGTAGAAACTTGCAAAGTTTTTTTTTTTATATACCGAAAAATAAACAACTTTTATTTGTTTTTTGTTGCATCTTGTCTATTATGGTTTATAGCTGGGTAAAAGAAAGTATTAGCTACAATTACATGTAAAGGAAATATTCATGGGTAGTGAATGGTGTTTAATAAACATGTTCGTGCGGTTGCATAACGTGATGTGTATGGCAAGCTAAATTCACAAAAATGAGCGAAACATGGTTTACTAGTCGAAAAACTAAGTTTATCAATTGTAAACTATAATTTATGAAGAGTAAATGTTTTTTAACGGCATTAATTTCGATTTTACATCTGCAAACCACTGTATACGCTTCAATCTTTGTTTCACGAATATAAACTATACTTAACAGTGAAAACAATTATTACTTTGTTTTTTTTCTTCAGATAATTACAGAAACTATGGTTAACAACTCTAAACTGCAGATATAAAAAAAAAATGTGTAAAATATATA